TTTGCGGCACTTGACAGCCAATATCATTTGTCCGGTTGAGCCAAATTGCCATTATTCACAAATTTTTGCCCAATAATGTATACTTAAGCCAAAAATGTTATATATAATGATACTGTTTACAGTACTACGAACCAATCAGAATACGATTTATTGTCCGATGGTCAATTGGATCTCCCCTTGGTTCTCCGTCATTATGGAAAGAAATATCTTTTGTTATCAACGATCAATCTTTATTCCTGTATTCTGTATCGTTGATTCTCGAAGACGATTGGTTGTGTTACTTTGCATATCGATATGCCGCTTTAGAAATTTGGGACGTTTTTTCCTGAAAATTTGACAGTACAAGTAAATTTTACTCCGTCGTAACGGAAAATCAACAGGCTCAACCCTGTATTAGCGTTACTTTTAGATTAGGTATGTCAATATATGTTATATATACCCGGATTGAAAACAATTCCTGATGAGAATTTTGTAATTTTGGCCCAAATTATGCTAACTAAAAATTTTTTAATTCTAACCTTAACGCTAACCCTAAAGTTTTAATCCTGCCAAAATAAAAATTGCAAAAATCCCTGAAACGGGAATCGGGAAAATTCTAATCAGGGGTACGTCGATAGTTGGATTAGAGTGTCCAGAATTCTTCTTTTTTTAACCTTAACCAGTTACAATTGAGATGATTATTGAGCAGAATCAGCAGACTCTGTGCTGGACACTCTAGTTTGAGCGTATACATTTTATACAATGGTCGCGGAAAAAGTTCCCGAAAACCAATTTTAAGAATGTGACTAACCCATTTTTCAAATTGTTTAAACGAATATATAAGCAGCAAGTTTCGATTAAGCTCAAAATTATCGAAAATGGAATATTGATGCATCGATCCTCCATGAATTGCTTCAATGATGTACATAGTATTCGTTTAAAGCTAAAATTATTGAAAAACAGATTGACTGTTCATAAAACATCGGAGTTAAACGAAACTACTGCTTATTTCCGGCTCTATTTAGTGGTCATATATTTCGAGAATGGCTAATCTATTTTGATAATCTTGAGTTTTCAAATGTGACGACTCATAGATTTGGATTTTTTGGGTTCTTTTTATGTTACACCTGATCTTGAAGTTTGATTGGCCAGCAAGAGTGGCTGGTCATGCGTCTAGTAAAAAGATTTTTTAATTGATTATTGATTATAATGATAAAAAAAATTTTTTCAAATTCTGATGGTTCATAAGAGTAAGAATTCTAAGCTTTGAAGAATAAAAATTTGGCTAATTTAAGTATTAATAATGGCTTAACATCTTATAGAAACTCAGAGCAAGCGCATGAGTTGCGCAAAGCGTTATAAAATTGCGCGAAGAGTCGCTGAACATCGACGAAAAGAGAGGAAAGAAGCAAAAAAAAATCCTCGGTCAAATAGTAATTTTTTTTTTTTTTTGAATGCTAACGGTTTCTCAATTAATATCATTATTAACATAATAAATCCATGTTTTTAGAATTGAAAAAAGATCCGGGCATACCAAATTTATGGCCATTTAAGAATCAACTTTTGAATAAAATTGAGCAACAAAAACGAAAGGTAATGTATTATTACTATCGATAAAAAATTATCAATAAATTTAATTCAATTATTTTTGTTTTATTATTTAGGTTGAAGATGAGAAACTGCGTCAAAGAGAAGCTCGTAACGCTCTGTTCAATAAGAATCGCGATGTTGTAGCTCTGTTCAATAAGAATCGCGATGCTGTAGCTATTGATCATAATGATACTATTGATCATAATGATACTATTGGTCATAATGAT